CTGATGTGTAAATTTTGGGGACATGTTTGTGGCAGTGCCTGCAATGTACCGGGTGCTTTCCAAAGGGACATACCTTGCCCTGAGGAACTCACAGGCTCAGGATGTACAGAGAGACAGGGAGGGGCCAGGGAAGGGGAACAGCCAAACAGCCAAATGCCGATCAGATAGATTCACTAGAGACAGCCCAGCAGAGAGGGACTGAATTGCACACAGGGTTGGAGCCTGTGGGATTGGCTGTGGGAGGTCGTACCATGCATAGGCACCTGCCTGGAGGAGGGCACAGCGGTGGGTGTACCAACTGCAGACAAAGCTGGGACATGGGCCAAGCAGGAGGCCTGGGGCAATTGTACAAGGGGCAGATAAGACTGAGGACATGGGTGGGGTGGGGATTGCAGAAAACTGTACGAGGAGGAGATTAGGCTGGTACATAGAAGGAGGGGCGGAGTTATTGGACAAGGGCAGACAAGGCTGGGGACATGGGTGGGGTGAGGGGCACGGATGACTGTACCAGGGCAAACAAAACCAGGAGCATGGACGGCGCAGGGGCTGTGGCGACCGGGGGATATGAAGCTCAGCCGGGGATAAGCAGGGAGCCTCACTGTGCCTGGGTGTCTGGGCTTTGCCTCCTGTGGGGCTCCATGGTTTGGTTCCAGCAGCCTCTGCACAGAGTTTCCTCCATTTAAACATTAGGGTCATTTCTGATGAGCTTCCTCATTCTAGTTAATTTCCTTCTTCCTAGTCCCAGAGCTAGTTCTGGGCACAGTTCCATTCTTCAGTGTGTGGAAGCTTATTACATAGGGCCAGATCCTTAGCTGGTGTAAATGGGTGTATTGACCCCAATGGAGTGATGCTGATTTTCACAGCTGGGGATCTGGCCCCATTGACTGCAATGGAAAGATGCTGTTTTACATCAGTGGGAGCTCTGGCCCCCTTTTGGTCACTCTTAGGCTAGGTCTACACTACAGCGGTGTTCCGACCTAAGATACGCAACTTCAGCTACGTGAATACCGTAGCTGAAGTTGCGTATTTTAGGTCGGCTTACCTGGTGGTGAGGACGGGGGAAAGCCGACCGCTGCCGCGCTGCCGCCGACTCCGCTACCGCCTCTTGTCGAGGTGGATTTCCGGAGTCGACGGCAGAGCGATCAGGGATCGATTTTACCGCGTCCTCACGAGACGCGGTAAGTCGATCCCCGATAAACCGATTGCTACCCGCCGGATCGGCGGGTAGTGAAGACGTAGCCTTAGTCTTTTTCTACGTTATACTGGTATCAGCTAAACTGTGAATTTAACTTGAATTTCTTATCCTAGGTTAACCCCTCCTGTGGATTCTCTTTGTCCAGCATAAGAATGACCTTTATTCAATTTATTTCATGTCACTTTAGAAGGGGTTTAGGCTAAACAGAATAAACATATGGGCTTAGATGGGGATAACAAGACCTGTATCGCTGCATTGGCATAAGTGGTAACACTTTCCCATATAGAGAAGTTAGGGGCTCATCTACAGTTACTTCTTCAATCAACTCCCATCCTGGGTTTTGCTCCCCACAGATGTCTTTGTTTGGGTGGAGTGTTCTGCTGTGCCCTGCAAGGGGTGTCTTGCATGACTGAGGTCAGTGCCAGGGGAGGGGAGGGATACTTACATGTCTATATATCTTGAGGCTGAAGGGCCAGAAACTTTCCTGGTATAAAGCAGTGTAACTCCATATACTTTCATGGACTTATAGCAGCTGAGTACCACACCGATGATTTTTACTGGCTATCAGAATATATGGGTCAGGGAATAAGTGTATTACAACACTGATAACTTGCGATCATGAACCTAACCCTCTTCGACCGTCATGACATTTATTCAGAACAGCTCATGCAGGGACTGGGAAGTTTACGATTCTCTCCAAGCAGCCATTCAAATGAGGAAGATCTGTATCCAATATAGTATAAAGAGAACAAAGACTTTGTTGACCCCCTCTGATTAATGCCACCCCCATACACAATGCCAGCATCACTCCACCGGCTCCTGGCAAACTGAAAGTCAAAGAAATGTGTGTAGCCACTGGGAATGTGTTGTTCATTTGCTTTATTTCCTCCTTTGGCACCTCTTGAACAATTCCCCACTGCTCACCACAATCCAGACGGAACAGCCACCAGGAAACACCTGAGAAAGGGGAATTCACTGAAAAAAAATTGACTTTATATGGCGAAAGCCCATGAGTGTGTGCACTGTTTTCTGAATACAAGATGGATGCATGATGTGCCCGGCCATGAATGTGGAAACTTTGGAAGATACCTCACAAGCGAATGGACAGATATACAGAACATTTTTGAATGGCAGTTTGGCGTATGGAGGCCTCTTGTCTGGTTTCACACCAGATAGTCCTCTTATTGTCTGGTTTGTCTCCCATCCGGTAGTGGTAAAAACGGGGCGTGTTTTTTCCCATATCAGACGGAAGATCCCATTTTGGAGAGTGCACTTCTCTGCCCCGCCAGTATGACTTTTGTACACCTGCTACATACATTGTCAGGCCAGTGGGAGCGGGTCGCTCTCAAAAATGGCATCCCCCATGCAGTGTGACCTTGGACACACCATGTGGACTAAGTTACGCTGGCAAGGGGTGTGCGCATGCCATTCCGAGAAGTGCCATGATGTTTGGTATTCCAGGAACGTGTGAGTAGCCACCGTTGCTTGGCCCACCCTGTAAGAAAATAAAGCTTGGCTGCACAGAGTTCTCCAACTGTCCAAGGAAGACAGATGATCATTGCTGGAGATTCAATACTCCAAAGAATCGAAAGAACATTCTGCAAGGGATAGGAGGACAACAGGACTGTCCCCGGCCCTCCCGGAGCCAAGACACAAGATATCACACTAAGATTGGACAGGCTTCAGAAGTCAAAATGCAAGGATCTATTGGTGATGGTTCATATTGGCATTAATGTAACCACACCTCGGGATATCTCACGGATAGTAGATGACTTCTGGAGAAGAATGTCCAAGCCACCTTTGAAAAAATCCCTTCTATCCTACAAGTAAAGGAAGAGAGAATGCAGAACATTATGGAAGTGAACTGCTGGCTAAGTGAGTGATGGAAGGTTGTGGTTTTGTAGAAAAATGGTCCACTTTCTGTGGGGAGAGGGGGCTGTATAGTGTGCATGGCCTCCACCTCAGTAGAAGGGGGACCACTCTTCTTGGGGACAGGCTGGATAAAGTTGGTTTGAGGCGGGGTATATTTGGCCTGCTGGGGGCCCTGTAGTCCTTCTGCAACCTACTGCCCCCCAGCCCCAAGAAATAGGGGGCTGAGAGGAGAGGAGCAGTGAAGGTGAGTCCTCCAAGCTTGTCTAGATAGGAGTCTCTGGAGCAGCCATTTTGGAAACCACAAAGACCTAGTCTTCCAAGGTCTAGAAGGGTGAGCAAGACCCAGTCAGGGACCTGCTGGCCCAGATAAAAGGAGTTCCTGACCTTAGCTGTTCAGATAAAGCACAAGCTGGGGTATTAGTTGGTGTCTGCTAAAGACCATCAGATAACAGTAGGGAACAGGATGACCGTGTCCTTATGCACTTATCTGTAATGAGTAGGAAAAAATGCTGTGTGGTCATGGGAAACATGATGCCCCTGCAGCTGGTGCCGCTGGCTCCACCCACTCAAAGCAGCAGTCCCGGGGGAGGTGAGAGCAGCTCGGCCCAGCCCCCCACCCGAGAAGCAGTGGCCCCCTGGGGTGTCCCACCCACCGGTGCCCCCCATCCCCAAGATTTAATCAGGGGTATAAGACAAACAACCAAACTCTGCCTTCGGAGACAGACAAGCAATTCCACTGCTTTCAATGGGAGCCGAGTGCGTGGTCTAATGGCAGAACAGCGCCCTAAAGATGCACATAGGTGACTTGGGAGCACTTATAAGAGCAGCTATCGGCCCCATCTGAGATCACAGCCCCATTGTGCCGGGTGCGGCGCTGACACATAATGCGACAGTCCCTGCCCCACAGGGCTCCCAGGCTCAATAGACAAGAGAGACACGGGAAGGGTTATCGTCACCATTTTAAAGAGAAGGAAACTGAGGCCCAGACAGGTGAAGGAGTCAGTGGCAGAGCTGGAACTGAACCCAGGTCCCAATCCTGTGCCTTACACATCAGATCATCCTTCCTCTCAGCGCAGACACCCGGGGGCAGAGTGAGGAGCAATGGGAAGAAATTAAGAAAAGGACGTTTGAGGGCGAATGGCCCCGATTCTGATCTCACTCACATCGATGTCAGTTCGGGGTGAGTCCCCTGAAGCCAGTACAGCCTCTGCATTTACAGCAGCGCACCTGAGATCAGACTCTGGCCCAGTGTCAGGAAGAACAGCCTGGCAATGAGATCTACCAGGCTGGGGAATTGCAACCTCTTGGGGGAAGGGTGGGAGCCACATTTAATGCTAGAGCCCTGAGGGGAACTACCCCGCCCTGGGCCCCAGTATGGGAGGGAAATGGATTAGACGGTCCAATGCCAGTCACGTTCTCCACCTCTGCTTTCCATGATCCTGTCCCAAAGCTCCACTCGCTGCAATAGCCGCCCAGCATGTAGAGCAGTGATACTCGGACCTCAGTGGCTCAGGAGCCAAATTAGCCATCAACATTATGCAAATGAGCCACAGTAGGGTGAATTCATTGTTTCATTTACTATAGTACTATTCATATTTAAACAGTGTGATGGGAAATATGTAGTTTTATATCTATATCTCTTATTCTCACAGCAAATAAGTTAGTAGCTTAGTGCAGGCTGATAACTTAATGGGTTAATAACATAGTAAAAGCATCCAGATTGGTTAATAACTTAGATTGGTTAATAATTAAACCACAGTGTTTTAATAGCATGAACTGCAAAGAGCTGCAGGGGAGACATTAAAGAGCCTCTTGCAGCTCACGAGCGGCAGTCTGAGAATCACTGATTTAGAGAGATGATAGCTCCGGAGCAGTCCCACGTGGGGCAGGCTGTGTGACACCTCCCCTCCCTGCTGCGGATTCAGGGACTCAGCTAGCACTGCCGTTCGCAGATCCAGTTCTCAGTGAAGGAGCAGGTGGCATCGTTCCACTTCCCGTCAAAGCGGAGGCTGCCACAGTCCTCCCCTTGCTGCCCAACATTGTTGGGTTCCCCGGGCCCCCAGAACCTGAGAAGGAAACCGAAGCCCCTTGGAATTAGAGGTGGGTATGGAAGTTCTAAAAGGGAGGTGCGGGAACCAATCACTTTGGATGGAAGGACCCTGGTGGATGCCAGCTGCCTTTAAATGTCACCATCCAAACAGCAGGGGTTGGCAGGCCAGGTGGTGCAGTAGGTGGGTAAGAGGAAGATGGATGGATGGAAGAAGGCAGAGGATGGGTGGCTGCTCATCACAGCACAGAGGGCAGTCAGGGCACAAAGAGACCTATGCTTGACTGTGCCTACACTGCAGAAACATGATTTAGATGGCTCTGCTCCGAGAGCAACTCCCACTGGTGGGTGCTGTGTATCCCAGCACCCCAGCAAATGCTCCACTTGCTCCTGGCTTCCACAGGCTGCCCCTGCTGGTAATCATCTCCCATCCCATCCCCAGTGTGGCTGTGGGTCTTAGCAACAGAACAGAGTCCACATGCGTACAGCGTCTCTGGTTTGAAAACCTCCTCCATGCAGGGGGTGTGAAATGAGCCAGCTCCTAGGGGACACGTCTCCACGTCACTGCCGCCAACGGGCACTGACTGGTCTGATAGTTTTAGCAGAGAGAGTCAAGGTGGGCATGGACTGATGTGCCTACTCACTCCTTAAGGTGGTGCCTGCAGGTCAGGGCCATGGCAGGTTGGTGGTAGCCACTGAATAGGGGGAAGCTGGCCCAGTTACTGCTCAAGCCAGAGCTGTTCTCAGCTTGGACAACATCAGTTTCCAGTGCATTTTACAGGTGAGGAAACTGAGGAATAGAGCAGGAAGAGACGTGCCTCACAGTCGGCCACCTGAGGATACTTATGGGGCTGGGACTAGAACCCAGGAGTGCTGCCTCCTTGTCCATGGCCCTGTCCCCTGGGCCATGTTGCTGTTCTCCCCAGCACCGTTCCTTAGCAGGACATTCAGAATGCCCCATGGTCAAGCAGCTTTCTGCTCCCCAGGAACATCCCAGGTCCTGTCCCTGCTCTGTGCTGACCCTGGATGACATTAGCATGGAGGCAGTTGCAGACTCATAACCTTCTTTACATGGTTTAGCCACTAAAGGGGACCAGAGACCCCTCTAGTATCAATTGCATTGGTATCAATGCGGGACAGGAGATAAAGCAGAAACAGCTGATTGTAAGGGACAGGTCTTTCTCCAAAGAGGCCGAACAAAGAGGGACTTGCCTGACAGACAGGGGGCTGCCGTCCAGCCAGCGCCACTCCCCTTCCTCCGCTGAGTCGCTGAGGCCCAGCCAGTACACGTGGGGTTCAGTGATGTGGTTTGACAAAAATGTCTATGTGGGAAAACAGGTGAAGGAGACAATCATGATCCCAAGCAGGAGGTGATGAGGTTTCAGGGGGCCTGTGTTTGTGGCCAGCAGAGTCTCACCCCTCCCCCTGTTTTTCCAACCCTTTACATTAAGGGTCCCACCCTACATTTTCCATGATGCACCAGGCACTCCCATGATGCCTCACTTCCTCTCTTCAGGAGGAATGAGTGTTGTACATCATGGGAGATGTAGACTGAGTGGGTAGCTCGACCTCTAAAAATGGGGGCCTGAAGCATCCAAACTACAGCTCCCATGAGGCACTGCAGCAGCACTTCCAAATTGAAATGTTTCAGATTTCGGTTGAAAATTCGCAGTATATATATTTTTAGCTCAAATAAATGAAATTTTCCACACAAAAAAGCTCATTTTCTGACCAGCTGTACTTCATATGCATCATCTCTGCCCTTTGCCCTGCAAATCTCCCCTATAAAATGGGAGAGGAACACTGGCCTGTTTCGGGCAGGGACTTTCTTTTTGTGACATATGTACAGCACCTAGCACATGGGGCTCTGATTGGTACTTCTACATGCTCTCACAATACTGATAAGTGACAGTAATAAGGCTGAATATTACACTGCTGTTCCCTGAGGACTGCGCGTAATTTTCAATCCTCCTACAGCTGCTGAAGGCCTGCTTTTGGGGCTTGTCAATCCCATGGCCATAGGTCCCCTCCATGAAGAGGGACCAAGGAACCATCTTGCAGTCCCTGTTGAGTCCCATTCTGCACCCTGGTTACTGGGGGAGCCTTAAATCCTGGCCCAAGGACAGGATAGCGAAATACACACGCTATGAGCTGTAGTGCTCATGAGTCAGATTTTGGTTCTGGTGACTCCAGATTCACACCAGTACCTTGCCCACTTCTGCACTACATGGGCATCCTCCCAGCACCAACTAGTCTCCCAAATCCTGTTCCCAGCAGGCACCGGGCTCAATTTAAAACTTAAGGTGGATCCTCCGTCAGGGCAGGATTCCTTCTGCAAAGTCCCGATGAGGAATCTGGAGTGGGGTCTTCCATAGAATATCAAAAAGCCTTTCGTAGTGTAGTAGTGAGCTGCTCTGAAAAGCATTTCACCTATGGGTCAGCAGCTGAATTCCTGCCCAGGTCGGTAGCAATCAAATATTATTTTTAGGTCCCTAAGGGACTCTGTGATTTGTATTCACAGGGGATTAGAACTGCCCCCCCCCCAGATGAATTTTGATTCATATCGAATCATCCACATCTGACACTGAGATTTCTTTTTACAAAGCTCACTCGACAATTGGTGTCATAAGGAGGAGGGAGAAAACTTGTTCACCTTAGCCTCTAAGGATAGAACAAGAAGCGATGGGCTTAAATTGCAGCAAGGGAGGTCTAGGTTGGACATTAGGAAAAAGTTCCTAACTGTCAGGGTGGTTAAACACTGGAATAAATTGCCTAGGGAGGTTCTGGAATTTCCATCTCTGGAGATATTTAAGAGTAGGTTAGATAAATGTCTATCCGGGATGGTCTAGACAGTATTTGGTCCTGCCATGCAGGCAGGGGATTGGACTCGATGACCTCTCGAGGTCCCTTCCAGTCCTAGAATCTATGAATTTTCAAATGACTCTATGTATCCAGGTTCCCTCAATTCTTCTTGAACAGAAAGTTACATCCAAAGATATTGCTAAATTCCTGGAAAACTTGGGCCAGTCTGTGATCTCAGTTACGCTGGGGTAAATCTAGAGTAACTCCAGATTCACCCTGGTGTAGCAGAACAGAATCTGGCCCCTTGTGCTTAATCCCTTCCATTCTGCGTGATCCACAATAGGAGTCTGAGTGGCTGGCTTACCTGTTCCTGTTTGGTGTTAACAATAACCAGGTGAGACCCTTCATTGGTACAGAACTGCTTAGCGTCCAACCAGGATTTACTCGATGTTGAAAAGAAGTAGCAACTTTTCTCTAAATTCTGCCAGCCAGGTGGACATTTTGTGCAGATGACTTCTGTGAGAAGTAAAATTATGGGACAAGCCTGCATCAGAGAGTTAAAATGCAGTCTAACTGAAGTGTAAAAACATCCGTGTCCCCATACTCCTTATTTACTTCTGACATTCTCACTGGCTTCAAGCAAATAATTTGCACTGAATTTGCGTATTCCCGGAAATTGGATTCTTTTTCCTTCCACCAGGTGCTCATTCATCCTCTGTGGGATGGTTTTATAAGTTACATGGCAGTGTCGCCCCTCTGACATGTGGTAGCAGATGGCAGGGCCTGGTAGGTCGGTTTCCCATTTGAAAATGAATCACTGAGTTAATATTTTCCTAATATAACTTGTTGATTTCTGCTGGGTGCACTTGTGCTGGAAAAGAGACGCCCATAAATAAAATGCAGGCCAATCGCTGATCTCAGCCCAGACACCGATTCCCAGTTTCCTGGGCACAACTCTGCCCCAAGAACTGAGCCTATTTAGAGAGTCAGGCAGGGAGCAAACTCCCTTGCTAATTGCAACAGCTCCCCTCCAAAAATAACACAGCCTGAAACCAACAACACAGCATGTCTTCGAAGACTGAATACCGCTGATATGCTTGGAAAGGGAACTTGCAAGCTGATGTACAACAGCACCCTCTGGTGGCTTCTGCCATACAGTATTGTATCCATCCCATGTTAGGCTTCATTATCTATTTAGCCAAATTATCAGCTGTGTCCATTTCCATTGCACATAGATGTGGTCAGTTTCCATGCACAGGGAACTGTGCAGGCCATAGGCCTATTGGGAACCTGAAAGTCAAATGCCCTGTTCCCTGTTGGCTTTCACTGACGCTGGGCATTTGTGGTTAACGCTGTCACTGGTTTCAAGCCCTGTCTGGTGCCCCCTTACCTGTGATGTTCCGTAACTCGTTCTGCACCCTGCTCAAGACCTCCTGAAGTCTGTCATGGTCCCTTCTCACCTCAGCCAGCTCCTTCGACATACTGTGCGTTAGGTTCCTTATCTCTGTCAGGGCAGGCAGGGGGTAGAAAAATGCCACCTGAATCAACAGGTTGATATTTCTGGGCTGGCTCAGACCTTCCTTCACAGCAGCTGGAAATTTCTATGTGTCCATCCATCTGCAAACACACTCTCTGTCCCCTTTCACAGCCTTCGACCTATCTATGCTCTGATACCGGAGTCCACCATTGTATTATCAAAGCACCTGTGCTATCCTGGGCTGATTGATTTTCCTTCAGGCCAACTGTTGGATTCAGTAAGGGAATTTTTACCTCAGTAGGCTCACAATAAGGTAGCCCAGGCTCCACGTCTGCATCATGGGCCTCTTCTATGGAAGTCTAAATCCCTAGTCACAGCCCTGACACCAGCATAACTAAGATCAGAACCCGGCTCATGTTTTTACTGGATGGGCCTGAAACCACACGGGATGAGCATTCCCAAATTCCTTCTGCAGGCCATGGAAGCTGTGTGCTCTCAGCAGCGCTGAGCGAACCAGAGCACCCCACCACCACTCCCACGTATCTACAGGGTACTGAGACCACAATGCAGCAAAGCACTTAAACACAAAGCCAGTGATTTTCAACCTATTTTCATTTTCGGACTCCTGAACTTTAGAATGGAGGTGAGGATCCCTTTGGAAATCGTGGGCATAGTCTGCGGACCCCCACGGGTCTACGGACCACAGGTCGAAAACCACTGCTCTGAGATGTGTTACACCACACAGTAATCACGAGGGTAGAGTTGTTTGACAGCTGCTATTGTGGGGAAGAACTTGGGGATTGAACTGGGGCCCTCCAGGGCTAAAAGCAGGAACTACTTCAGCGTGAGATAAAGCTGCCGAACCATCTCCTAGAGCAGCACAGAGGCGTTACCTGTCAGACTGCTCACCAATGGGTTACACATGCCTAAGTGCCTTTGCTGGATCGGGGTCTGAGATCCAAAGTTCTGCTGCAGCATGAACTGGGCGCAGGATAAAACCTGGGGTGGCCCATGGGAGCAGGATGCAGCTGATCCCAAACTAAAACGGGATTATCCATGTAGGGCTCCCTGCTCCAGCCTCACACTTCCCCTTTCTCATCCTCCTTCTCTACTTCCATTTCAGCTTCCCCTCCACACGGGAAGATCAGACCCAGGAGTCCCTCTACAAGGAAGGAGCAGTCACCTGTGGCATCCTGGAGATATGATGGGTCTTTCACGTGATCAGCCTGGATCTCCTCGATCCCCAGCCTAACCCCAGCCAAGCCCTTGGACACTGCAAACAGCAGAGGGCAGAAAAGAACTGCTGTACATGGGCGTGTCGAAGGAAGAGACCCCACCCATGTGCAACCCCTATGATTTTATTTCACGTCTTGTGACAAGGGAACTGTTTATGCCCAACCTCTTGAGAAACATCAGCAGAACATACCATTAAGAAGTCGACTATTAAACACGTTGAATTCTTTGGACATCTTCAACTCTAAAAGGAAAATGAGAGAATGGGGAGTTTCCATTTTAAATAACAGCACAGAACCTCATGCTGCCCCACCCACATGCTCCACCCCTGAGGAGCGCTGGATAAGGACCATTCATCCAGTAATGTGTGAAATGTATGGAGCAAGCGCAGTCATTTGCAAGGATGTAAATGGGTTTCACTTATAGCTATTACTGATTTAAATTACCATGCTACCTACAAGCCCCACCTGAGATTAGAGCCCCTTTGTGCCAGGTGCTGCACAAACCGGAACTGAGATTGGGTACCCTTGCTCTGGCACTGCATAGACACAGAGTGAGAGACGGTTACAATACAAATAGACAAGAAATGAACCCATTTCAAAGATAGTGAAACTGAGGCACAGAGAAATGAAGGGCCATTTGCTGGGTGTTTGGGGACACACTACCACACTCTGCTGGACAGACTGGGGCCTCCCCCACCCATATTCCTGCTTCCTTTTTTCAGATGGTCAGGGGAGTGTCCTGGTGGAGACGGGTCTCAGTTCCCACTCACCCAAGCAGTAGCTGTCTTTATGGGGGCCCCAGGCATGTGCCTACTCCTGGTACAGACCAATTCCGCTCATGCCCATGGCTTGCCCAGCAGGATAACACTCTCAGCCAATGAGACACTGGTAGAAACGTGACCTCATCACAACAAAATTTCATTGGATAATCAGTGATCCTAGGAACAGGACAATGTTATCCAACAACTTCTAAGAGCTACTTCCACCTCCTGTGGTTGTCCCACACCCCACAATAATCTAGAGTCCTGTCTGAGCTGGGGTCACATCCCCAGCTGATGTGTGTCTGCTCAGCTCCAATGAAGTCCAAGGAGCTACATCAACTTCACCAGCCCTGCACCTGACCCCGTTTGCCCAACTCTCCCCTCCCTTGAGGTGTAAGGACCTAAAAAGTTCTGCAAAGTCCAACAAGGAACAGAAACATTTCCTTTATCCTCTCACCTAGATAGTCCTGGTGATGTGTCAGATTTCTCTGGGCATCTCTTCTTATAGTATCTCGATCCAACTGGGCTTCAGCAAGACCCTTGGACACTGTAGACATGACACTTTTGATGGCAGAGTAAAATTTATCAGCAGGGGAAACCCATATCTTTGGGGACATCCGTGCTGCTGTAAAATGCACTTTCCTCCCAGTTACTACCCAAGACTTCTGATGTCCCTTACCTCATGTTAGCTGTGATCCTCCACTACAGGCACACTGTGCTCAACACTGGGATTCATTATTCTGGACACCAGCTCGGTCCTTGGTACAATGCAGAGCTGCGTTGGGGCTGCTCTATGTTACACTGAGCTGCCAGTGGCCCCAGAGTGTGCGGTGCAGCTGGTACTGCTACACACAGGCGTGGAATGTGGCTGGACAGCTCAAAGGGGCATAGCAAAGCTGAGAGTGAAAAGGCTCAGCCTTCCCAGAGCAATGCAGGGCTCTGACTGCTGTGCGGAGCAGAAAGCCGCCTGCTACCACAAGGAGCCTGTCTCGGTTTGTGTGTGGTTAGCTGGTTGCAAAGTTAAATAGGAAAGGAATGCATTTGTCGGGCCCAAGCTCTCCTTGTGTTAATGGGGAAGAGGCAATTGTGGCAGCACATTGTGCCATGCCCCCGTTGCATTGTTCTCACTCCCAGACATTCCCTCTCCGCTAGCGTGATCGGCCGACAGCCCTTTGCACTGGCCACAGAACACGGTTGAAAAAAGAACATTTTTGTATGGATATTTCACAACGTTCAAAATGTCACCACAAACATGGCCCGGTTATTGATTTTGGGTGGGATTTTTCTAAGATTTACTAGCACAGGTTCCATGGAAAGCTAGTGGGAGTTATGCTAAGGACAAATCCCACCACTTTGAAAATCCGGTCACCTTAACTCAGAGGTGAGTGAAAGTTACCTAGCAATGGCAACTGCTCCATAATTAAGGTCACAAGTGAGCCTCCAGTCTCAACCCAATTTTGTGCCCCACCGCTAAAATCCACCCCAAACTAGTCAGAGCAGCCTCAGTCTTGGCAGGTGAGATGTGAGGCCGAGGTAGGAACGAACAGGAGACTTACATTTCCCAAGTTTCACCACGATGAGAGCTGTGGCCACTGCAATGCAAATCGCCAGCAGGAGATACAGGATCACAATGGCCTTCCCTGGGGCGGAGTTGGGGAGGCAAAGAGCTGTGGGGAGCAACACTGGTTAGATCTCTCAATGCAGGATCAACCCCACCTAACATTTACTTTGGGGGGAGACTCCCGGCACTGAACATGGTTCCCTACAAGAGAAGATGACTGAACAAAGGGAGGGGAGGGATTCATCATATTAATACCTTGAGGTAGTTCTCAGCCTTCCCTGTGTTCCATTTTCCATGTTGGGAATCCCTCTCCCTTTTAGCAATATGGGAAGGGCAGGGGAGTGTGACACCCAGATTGAGACGCTCCTGCCTTAAAGGGAGCATGGGAATCCTTTCAGGCTGTAGTGGGAAGATATAGGCAGGCTCACAGGACCAGTTTCATCCCTGGAATAGCAACACTGAAGGCACTGGAGTAACCCAGGGATGAGTTTGTCCCATGATAAGAAAGGAGTTCATGTGGATGATGGGACTATCCAGACTCAATCCAGACACTAATTTGGGGGAGAGAGAAACTATCCTGATTGTGGGCACCGGCCAAACTCAAATAAGCAAAGCCAGGAATCGGACACAGGCCTCCTGACTCCCAGGGTAGCTCCTTAATCACAAGACCAACCTTCCTCAGGCCAGCTCACCTTTACCACCTCTTCCAGGTACGCTGCTCGCTTCCTGCACTGTCAGTTCCACGTGCTCTGAGCTGTCCCATTTGTGGTAGGAGCTGTCCGGGTGCATGGCTGCGGATGTCTATGTTCTGCTCCTGGCCGTCGGTGCAGTTTATATTGATAGGAGCCGTCATCATGCCTTTCCAGGGGAACGGACGCCTGTGGTCACACGGGTCAGGGACTGTGACCCAACCATTTCCTCTCCAGGTCAGTGCAGAATCATAGCGTCTCTGTGGTTCCAGTTTCTGGTCCTTAGACTTCCAGGCTCTGAGATTGCTCAACTCCCATTGACTTTTATCAGAATATGTTGAAATCAGCACTTCTCTCCCAGAGGCTGCTCTAGTCAATCTGCCGCCCTAGGCAAAACTTCAGTGTACCATCCCCCTCCTCAGAAGCCTAGGGTGGGAGATTTGGCTCAGTCATTCCTATATCATGAAGGAAAGGGCGGCAGTGCCAAATTCCAGTGAGTGGCAGTGTGGTCTTGCATGACATGGGGGCGGCCAGGCTAAATTTAGCAGAGTCCTGTTGCCCCTTATAGACTAACAGATGTATTGGAGCATGAGCTTTCGTGGGTGAATACCCACTTCGTCGGATGCATGTAGTGCAAATTTCCAGAGGCAGGTATAAATATGCAAGCAAGAGTGAGTCAGGCTAGAGATCACGAGGTTAGTTCAATCAGGGAGGATGAGGCCCTCTTCTAGCAGTTGAGGTGTGAACACCAAGGGAGGAGAAACTGCTTTTGTAGTTGGCT